CATCTGCTGCTTTACTTGATCTCCAGTGTTTATAGCAGAGCACACAGTTGCAAGCTGGTCAGCTAGAATTAACTCTGGCATTTGTAAATCAGGACAGAATATTATGGAACATGAAGTTACTGGACTGCTTAGAAACATTAATATGCAACTTCAGAAAAGTTAAGATTCACAGAAATAATCTGCAGTCTGTGGCTCAGCCTTTGTAAAAAGACCATTGCTAAAAAGAGACAATAAAAATATCAGGTTCCAAAATGTTTGAAAGTGGACAACCTTCTTGCCCAGTTTCTGCATGAAATCATTTTACCATTCTATAACTGGTCAAGACAGCACTCTCTACATTTATTTTAATGGATCACTATGAAAACTGTCATGCTCACAGTTCTTAAGGCATACAATCCCACACTGGACTGCCGGTGACATCTTGTCTGTAAATGTTCAGCCCAACAAGCTTCTTTGCTCTTTAAGAAAGGGTGGTACTCAAAGGCTCAGTTTAGGTATAGACTGTAGAGCTTTGATTGAAGGAAAGGCGGGGGGACCAAAAACCTTCTCTACAGCAAATGACCCTCAGGCTATTCACCACCACTATCTTTAGTGTAAAATTTCTATCATTTGCCAAATAACTTGTAGGAACTTAAAAACCTAGAGGGCAGAGGAGCAAAAAGTGTAAACAGATTGAAAATCACATAGAAACCCTGAAGTAGGACCATAATATTCAGACTAGTAGTTTACACCCTGATGTGGATGCTTATCCTTTAAGAGCAGGGTCTCATCTTTCTCCTTATAAGATCTGATGGACCCACAGAGTCCTGCCTGATCCAAAAGAGGAACCTACCCAATATGAACCTGACAAAGCTCTGAGATGGGAACTCAGTCAATACACATTTTCATTTCAACATTTATTGTCATTTCCTTTGTTCCAGGCACCATATCAGGTGCTGAGATGGAAAGATCAACCAGGTTTGATGTCTACCTTCCAGGTGTGAAATTTCTTCTTTTAGGAGTCTCCTGAAATGCACATAGTACAGGAAGGGAAACAGCAAAATAGTTCATAACAGTGTTCATGTCTCCTCAGGTTTTGTCTTATACTAAAGGAATATGGCCATGCAGGGAGTGGGTGGCAAAATACAAAGAAAAGTTGAGGGTCACTAACACATTTCACCTAGATTTGAGCTTTATTTCTTCACATCACCTTCCCAAAAGTATAAACATATATTTAAAAAACCCATCACAGTCCCCAGTGATATTCAATAAGGAAACAAACATTATTTCGCCTTCCCTTTCAATACACAACCCTATCAATTGGCTATAAACTGGCTCTTCTCAGTACTACTGTCCTTGATCCTGTTCCCTCTTAGGTAGAGGGGAGAAGGCTACATCTAAGTGTAAGAAGAGAAAATCATTTGTAAAATGAAGCACAATATGGTGCTTTGTGTAGGCATCATTTTGCTAACGTATACTGGGAAGCAGAGAGGCAGGAATATGTGGCTATCGCGTTAAAGGAGACTAGATGGTAAATAGTGAATCCCATGAGACTCCTCACCTCCAGGCCCAACCCCCCACACCTGGGGTCTTTAGACTAGTGTATTAATTTGTAATATGGTGCTATAGACTGGTTGGTTTAAACAACAGAAATTTATTGTCTTGCAGTCTGGAGGCTAGAAGTCTGACACACAAGTCAGTCATCAGCCAGGTTGGTTCCTTCTGAGGGCTGGGAAAGATCTGTCCAGGCATTTCTGTTTGGATGATTTATTTTATGTGTTAACTGGCTAGGCCATGGGACCCAGATATTTGATCAAATACAAGTCTAAAGTTCACTGAGAAGATATTTTTCAGATGACATTAACATGTAAATCATCAAACTCTGAGTAAAGCAAATTACCCTTCATGTGGATGGGTCTCATGCAATGGAGCAAAAGCTTTTAGAGACAAGACTGAGATTCCTGATGAAGAGGAAATTCTACCTCTAGATTGCCTTTGGAATTGAGCTGCAACATCAACTCTTCCCTGGGTTTCCAGCCTATAGGCCTGCACTGCAGATTTCAGATTTGCTTGAGTCCCCCACTCATGTGAGTAAATTCCTTAAAATAAAACTCTCCACTCCCTAGTGGTTTTGTTTGTCTGGAGAATCCTACTACACCTCACCTTTGGTAATTCCTTGGCTTATGGCAGTGTTAACTCCAGTCTTCACTGGGCCTTCTCACTGTGTCTGTATCCAAATTTCCCCTTTATTTAGGACACCAGTCTTACTGTACTAGGGACTACCCTAATGACCTCAATCTCCTTCTAAGGTCGCATTCTAAGATATCATGGTTTAACACTTAAATATGACTCTCTGTGTGTGGGGGGGGGCACAATTCAACTCATACCCAGTAGTGACACAAAAAGTATGCCTGCATTTGTAACCCAAAAGGTTTTAGAAAGTTAAAATCACTTTTGTTGACTTTTGCATGTGTGTTTGAATACATACAATTTTTACAGTGAGTATGTCAAAAGGGCTAAGATAGAACTTACCTTGTTTAAGACATATAAAACTTGAGTCAGGCTTGTCCATGCAAAAACAAATCACAATGAATTATATATATACATAATTATACTGCACTAAAAAATAACTATAATAGAAGGGAGATCAGTAGAGCAAGTGGATCTGGGGAGGAAGGAAGAGAGGGGATGGGAAGGCACTGGGGAATGTGATAGATCAAATTATTATGTATATGTACAAATACAGTATAATGAATCCTACTATTATGTGTAATTACAATGCACTAATAAAAAAAGTATGGCTTAGGAATAAAATTTCAATACATCATCACGGTAGTACCTTAAACCAGGTAAGAACATTTTTTTTTTTTTTGGTACTGGAGATTGACCCAGGGGTGCATAACCATTGAGCCATATCCCCAGCACTTTTTAAAATTTTGAGGCAGGGTCTCTAAGGCCCTCCATAAGTTGCTGAGGCCGGTTTGAACTTGAAACTCTCCTGCCTCAGCCTCCCAAATCGCTGGGATTACAGGTGTGTGCCACTGTGCCCAGAAAGAACTGGGTTTTTGAGTGTGTTCATCACCTGAATTCATTGAGCAGATATAAAAAGCAATAGGCCACAAATGATCTGAATATTGAATCCAATTGTGCCTATTACCGCCCCTTCTTAGGAAAAACATCAAATGTATATAAATATAGTGGGAATAATATAATAAATTACTTATATATCCAATGATCTATTTGAGAAGTGATCAATTTTGGCTGGATGGGCCTCATGAGAGCTAGCCTTTCTGTGCCACATGTCCTTTGCTACCACTGATTATGCATGCCTTGGATTTTTCTAACACACTCCTTACCAGCTGTTTTGTAGATTTAGAAATGTGTGAAAAATATTCTAAGTCTTTAAAAGCAATCATAAATTGTGTATTGAATAAGTGCCACACAGATTGAACTGTCCGATTAAACCATTTATAATTATGGAAAGGACAGCAAAAGTACTGGTAAATGATTATGATTATATTGAACAATTCCTTGTCATCAAAATGATTTTGGAAGGAAGCCAGCCTTTTGCAATTCCTCCAAACCTAACTTAAGAGATTTTGTTGTTATTCAAGAAAGCTTAACTTCTGCCTCCTACCCACTTCTTTGCTGAGGGCAAGATCCCAATCTAGAGTTGCTAAAGGTTTCAAAATACAGTCCTTATACTTGATTTGTATGTTGCAACTAACTGTCCTGGCACTGCTAATGAAATGGAATGCACTTCCCTCTGTCCATCATTTCCCTAATATTCACTTTCACTCCAATTATCTCAGTCTTACTTCATTTCAACTGTAAACAACAGCAGTCTTTTGCCTGACTTCAGGGAAAACACAGAGGGGTGTACTGGTACAGAGAACTGTACACTTGTTCCTTTTGTCCTTTTGGTGAACTCCAGCCCAGGTACTTGGCTCACCGTGAATTCCCATACATGCTGCAACATGACTTCTCTGAGAGGTGGATAAGGCTGCCTTTCTTAACAGAGATTTCTGACTGTCCTCCAAACTCTAGCAAGATTTTAAAGAGCACAGTGGAGACTGGCAGAATTCCTGTAAAGGAAGTAGGAAAACCAGATAACACTGTGATTTTCAGTGGCTGACACCAAACAAATTCTATCCAAAGTAAGGTTTACCCATCTTTATTAACTTCACCTATTTCTCAAGCTTTTCCAGCAAAAATAAATGGGGGGTAATTACAATGATATTGACACTAACCAGTTAGCAGCTGCCTCAGACAGCAGCACTTAACGCTGAAGGAGAACCCCAGACACCAATATTTGTATTTTGGAGATTATTCTCCTCCAGCTCTGGGGTACCACTCGAGAGAAAAAGGGCAGGAGGAGGAACTGAAGACTGCAGAAAGCTCAGATTTATCCACAAGACACAAGTGTGCTGGTGATCCTCTACACTGGCGATAGCTGTGAGTCTGTCCTTTGCCCCTGGCACAGTCGGGGACAAACTCAATAATGCAGATCCAAGAGAGTCCCAACTCCGTGTGTCCCGGTTTCTGGAACTGCAATTTCTTTATTTGCCAGTCACCGGGACAACTGCTCTACGTTTAAATGAGCGGCTACCTGAAAGAGTGTCTGGTGATCCTTACAATGGAGAAACTGAGCTATCCCCGCCGCCACTCTCCCGCCCTTCATAAGAGAAGCCCTGTCAGGACCTCGGCCAGACAGGACCTACAGCATCTTCAGCTCCAGGGTGCATTTGTGGAGCGTGATCATGAGTGTGGAGACATGGTGTACTCCCTCTGTCAAACTACGCTCCCCCGTGGCTAACGCTGCACACTGTCAAACGACACTGAAAGACCGGAAACATTGTCGCTTGCTCTAGACAGTCAAAATTCTGGCGCGCGGCCATCTAGATTACTCTCACAGACTTCGCCACGCCTCACACGCCAGGAAACGTCATTCGCTACACCAGGCCACGCCCCTGTCTTTCCGGCCGCATCAATGAAGCCGGAAGTCCCGCCCCGGCCGCGCTCTCCACTCCCAGCTCCCTGCCCTAGTACGTGTACACGCGTGAGTACGATCTATAAAAAAACACCGGACTCTCGCCGCGACTACGCCACTGTCTTCCGTAGGGGCCACTGTTCTTATTACGTGCAAGAGGAGGAAGGCCACGGCCGGACTCCGCCCAAGCTCAGGGCACATACGTGCGTCCCGCCTACTTCAGGCCCCTACTCAGGCCCCTCCTTCCGGCCCTGTGCCCGACCCTCCCTCGCGCTACTCCAGAGCCCACCTCCATCCGTGGCCACGCCCCCACGCTCCGTCCAGTCCACGTCACTGAGCATAAGGCCTTTTACATCCTCCTGACCACCCGGTCACGTCCATCTTGCCCACCCGAAGCCCCTCCCTTGCCCCCACAGGCCATATACTCGTTCAGGTCTCGCCGCGGCGATTCGCCCGGGCTTCGGCTCTTCCTCTGGGCATTGGGGCCTGTGCTCCTCAGTGCCCAGGCCCCTACCTTCGTCGTTGACCAGCAGGCTAGGGCCCCGGTTTCCTGTCATATCCCTTCCCTCTTGCTACACTCCTCCGTCCTGGCCAATCCTAGCAGTCTTCCCAGGCTACTCGCCACAATCTTGGACTCACAGTAGTCACTCCCATCCCGCGCATGTGTATTTGCATGCCTTAATCCTCGCTCGTCACTGTGTTCCCAGGCCACTCACTTTCAGTTTGGTTGTGGTGACAGCTCTCCCGCCAGGACTAGGTCCCGCTACAAGAAGGAAGGCAGGTCTCCTTAGAAAATTGTCCTGCCCAGGGTTGGACACCGGTGGCATTTATAGCGTGAAATGAGCCCACGATTCTCTGATCTTCCTCTAAAAATCGACTTTGTTCACGTTTCTCTCAGCATTTTAAATACCACCTCTTAATGAACAGAAACCAGGTAGGAAGCAGAACTGTTAAACCAGTGGTAGAACCCTGTTCCTTCCAGCTAGGTTTCATGTCCTCTAGCCCCCCCTAGGGAGCCATCTGAAACTGTGTCCTTTCCACCCCTCAGCACCCTTGAAATACTAGGCAGATGTGTGTGTGTGTGTGTGTGTGTGGCATGAGCACACACTCCCTCTACTCCTTGTTCCTTCATGGTGTTTAGGGCCTGTTGAGACACCACCACACTTAAAATTCTGCTTGCTGTCCTCTCAGAGATTACTCTTGTATTTCCTCTGTTTACTATTCTGGGGTCTACAAGAAAAAAGCGAAGAGGTCACTATCAGCTTTAATTTTTTTTTTTCTGCCCAGAAATTTCTGAAGAAGTTCCTGCAGGAAGGACATTTTCTATTCACCTTTCATGCATTCATTCAAGAGGATTCATCCAGTATTATATTCCAGAGACAAATAAGATATATCCCAAGGAGCTTACAGGCGAAAGTTCCCCCAACTTGGGTTTGGATAGGGCAGGAAATAAGAGAAAGTTAAAAATGGTGTAGTAAGGGGATTGATTGGTAGTAAAGGATCTGGTAAGTGCTGGTCTGTTGATCCAACTAGCAGCAGTATTTGGGGGCAGAAAACAAAGGAAACCACTTTCAAAGTACTTATGACAACCCCTTACACAACTTCTCAATAAATCCTCACTGAAAATGTGCCCTTTTTAACTTGTGTAGAGGGCTGTAGTTTTTCCCTCTGTGGTAGTAAGATTGGCTACATATAATTCAACACATGGCAGCAGTCAAGATCTTGTTTCCTATTTTGACATCCAGCAGTCAACATTTTATGATCAGATATGAAGTATGAGTTCCTTTCTCTGTTCACCTTCCTTCCACTTCTGCTGTGAAGATAGTAGGGAGGGGATTAACAATGCTGAGCTAAAAGTAGCACAGAGTAAACAGCAGTTTTCAACAAAATATTTTTCTTATGTATACCTTGACCCTGAGAACTCCCATCTATAGAAAATGTTTCAAATGCCAGTCATTTATTGCCTGAAAAAATAAACTCACATGAAATAGGACCAAGTACACTCTGTTACTGCCTTGATTTTTATAACATAGTTATATTCACCTTTGGCTACAAATTATTTGAAGCAATTTACCAAAATTTAAACAACATTGTATAGAGAAATAGTTCAAAGAACCAGAGAGGTAACTCATTGAGGAAGAATAAATAAAGCAGTCAATTACATACCCTCGGATATAGAAGGTGGGGATAACAAAAATTTGAAGGTTTTATGGTGTTCATAAAAAACAGTTGGGATTTTGTTTTTGCGAAACACAATTTTTCTTAAGCTTTTTAGTCCTGAGGGCCATGCCAATTCCTCACTATTATCATGCTGTTAGTTAAGTGAGAAATATGTATCCTATGGAGTTACCCAAAGATCCTCTGTATGTAAACTGTTGTCATGATCACAAAACATAGTACATTAAATTAATTTTATGAACATGTAAACTTTCCAGTTTAACTAAGTACTCAAATCCTCAATGTTCTGGTTTAATTCAGGGTGATATTTAGATGATATTTAGATCATTTTTCCTTTGCATGGCAAATCAGGTTCCACTCACATGTCAAATCTTTTCCATTCATATTGGCTGACTGAATAAGTGAGTTGGGAAGTTTTGTAGCTGAGTCCATGCTCAGAAGGACAAAGTCTTGTAACAGATTAATAAGGTCTTTGTGGGCACAGGATGGGTAAGTGTCTGTAAGCAACAGCATATCTAGCATCTCTGATTTCAGTAATGGCGGTTTTGTGTGCACATCTTTTATGCAGTCTACATTTCTCATGATGAGGCTTTTAATGAAAATCAGGTCATTTTTGCTCACTAAAACCCTGGAGTGGAAACTCTGAGAGATTAATTCCTGTATCTTTTGTATCAATCAGAATTAGAGCAGTTAAAAAAATATATATTTTTTGTAGTTTAGATGGACAGAATGCCTTTATTTTATTTATTTTTATTTGGTGCTGACAATGGAACCCAGTGCCTCACGCATGCTAGGCAAGCACTCTGCCACTGAGCTACAGCCCCAGCCCCAGAATTAGAGCAGTTTAAAATTCTGTTCTGAAAATAAGAACATACAGCCTAAAAGTTACATGGCCAGATGACCTTCCTCCACCTCTGTAGAGATTGGCAAGGGAAGTACCTATAGACAGTATTAAACGTGACTGGGTGACCTCCAGGTGGCAGTAAAATAGAATATTAAAGATGGATAATACTATACCATAGAGCATGTCTGCAATAATTTTAGCCTAGAAAGAAATTATGACTTGCCCAAACCAGGAGAAAACTCAAGAACTGTCCAGAGACAAAATTACTACAGATTTAGTTATAGATCTAATTTGCATTTATTAGTGATTCATGAATCATGGCATCCTCTTTTCTAGAAAATATCATGAAAGCTCCCAGTGTGCATTAGGAGAACAGTATGTTTTGTAAGTCAGAAACAAAGAAACATAACAAGAGAAGAAATACTGATTGATTAATATTAAATGCCTTTGGCTTACTTTTTTATAAGGTTAAAGCAGAAGGACTTTCTTCTTACATATGTTGACCTAAGTAGACGGGGTTTCCTGTTTTCAAGAAAAACTGGTCTGTTTTGGCAATGTATCTTCCTCCTTAAAGTCTCAGTTTGATCATGCAGCATTTAACATGACTGACTCCATTTTGGTTTGGTGTGGGCTCTTGGGACTAGTGCAGGAGCTGAGTCAAAACAATAGGTTACATAATTTTTGTTTAACATACCTGAGCAACAGTGGAAACAGAAACATAGGAAAAATGCTCGTGAAATTTTGCTTTTACTACATGAGATTCATTATAAAATATTGGTCTCCATGTCAAGATTAGTCATACAGACACTCACACATTCAGTTTAAACAACTGTCCTTTAAGTTACTACCTTAGGTATATGAAGTTTGCAGAATTACATTCACCTAGTTTGTCTGAATTAATTTTTATTTGCAGGCAGTAGTGATTAACTTTCTCTGACAAACAAAATGTTAACCTGTGGAAAATAAGACAAAGTTCATAATGGATATGGCTGTTGATTAACCTACAAAATTTGATGAGCTTTTCAAATATCGTAGCTAATTTTCTCATTTTAAAAATGGCATGAGGTAGGGGGATAGAGATGAAAATATTCCAAAGCCCAGGACTCCTTATTTATCAAAAATACTAGAAACTGTTTTTCTCTGGCTAGGAATGAAAAAAATAAAGGCCAAAGTATTTCAAGGTACTGTATTTTACTCTCATAGACTCAAGTTTATTAGAATTCCACTTTATGGTTCATATTAGTCAATTCAGTTTCCTTAGTCTATGAAACATTCATGGGCTATGAGAAATGCAAAAATGAACTAAATATCTCTGCCATCTAGAAACTTAAATTTTTGTAGGACACAAAAGTAAATCATATTGGCAACAGATGCATATACAAATGTGAACAAAATGCTCTGGGAATTTGGAAGAATAAAAATTTTGTGGATTGGACAAGTCAGTTATAAAACTGTACAAGAAAGGCAAAAGAAAAGCTTCTCAAAGGAGATGATAATAAGATAGACTTGAAATAATGGCTAATATGCTTAAAGATAAATGAAACTCACAGGATTCAAACTGAGGAAATCAATCCTGTGAAACAAACACAAGCAAAGACAGAAGTAGAACATGATCAACCTGCAGTGACTAGCTGGGAGAACAGCTCAGGGGTATGAGGGAGGGTACTTAAGTGTTCATGCACCTGAAAAGCCAAGTTGGTTCAGAACTTAAGACCATGGAGTTTGAATTCTCTTACATTGACACTGAAGTGCTAATGAAGATTTTAATGTGGAAATAGTAGCAGTGTAAATGACCAGGAGAAGGACAATGAAATGTAGGAAGGTAGGAAGTTCTTTCTATGGTGGTGGGTTTCCAATGTGCTGGCATTTACTCAGTTCATATGTGTCCAGGGCTCCAATAAGCAGGAAATCATTCTTTCTTGTTGGCCTTCTTAATAAACAGATAATTTAGCTCATTTTTAATTATATCATATATAACAAATAATGTTGCATTCTTATAGTATGCTTAATTTTACACACACACACACACACACACACACAAATTTGGTTCTCTTTTATATTCTGTCCTTCCTGTATGTGTTATTTCCATTAACCCAATTATAACAAGAAAAAAAAGTTAGCAGATACAGGCTTGGATGATGTTTCTGAAGTTAATTTAGCAGCATCCCTGGTCTCCATTCATCTGATGCCCATTGGTTCTCTCTTCAGTGCTATTTGTGATGGACAGAAATGTCTCTGGGCATTGCCAGTGCCTTCCAGAGGACAAAATCACCCTGACTGAAAAATACTACATTTATATAGAATATTTTCACACAATAGACAAAAATATCGTTTTCATATTTGTACATACATCTAATGTCAACATGATTTAATTTTTTCTCCTACAAAATTGTGTCTAGATGGCAGAGACTGTATTTGGTTCATTTGTGTGTTTCTCATAGCCCATGCATCTGACTACTAATTGGAGATCTAAAGAGCTTAAAATCATTGCTGTTTGTGATGATGAAACATAGTAATTTGGGTCAACTTTAAAAGTGACATTGGCCCTCCCTGCCTCTTGTTTTATTGCAGGTAAATGGAGCCTACATATCCCCACATGCTTTTAACTCTGGTGAACTTTAAAAGGTGAGTCAAAAGAATAGCACAAATGTTATTATTTCATGTGATCTCATATTTTATTTACCCCAGAGCAGTAGATCAATAGTTATGTACCTAGAAACTGCTTTGCAATAGTGTTGTGGAGTATAAAAAACAAAGAAATCAATTTCTTTTTCCTGTCTCGGGATACTGGGTTACCTTTTGTGTTGTTCATGGCAACAGTAATCTAAACTTTTAATTTCTGCTGTCTAGAACATTTAGAAGTAAATATAGCATATTCAGAATGAAACTGCCTCATTTGTCAAGATTGCCATGGTTACTAATAAGTTATTAGGCTCTCATGTGAAATTGCTGAAACAAACAGTTTATGAAGTGAATTATACAAATATAAATCCTCTGGAAATTTAATACTTAAAATTTGTACTTCACCCCAGGTGCATTCTTGTAATCCCAGCAACTCTGGAGGCTGAGACAGAAGGATCACAAGTTCAAGGTCAGCCTGGGCAATTCAGTGAAACCCTGTCTCAAAATTTAAAAGGACTGGGGCTGGGGTTATAGCTCAATGGTAGAGCCCTAGCCTAGCACATGTGAGGACCAGGGTTTGATCTTCAGCACCACATAAAGATAAATAAATAAAATAAAAGTATTGTATCCATCTACAACTACAAAAAATATTTTTAAAAATTCAAAAGGTCTGGGGATGTAGCTCAGTGGTAGGGCCCCCCTACCTAGCATTCATGAGGCCCAGAGTTCAGTCCCCAGTACTGAAAAAACAAATTCTACATCAAAGCAGACACTAAATGTGGGCTTTGTAAAAAGAAAGAGAATTAAGATAGTGTGTTGAGAAGCAAGAAAACAGAGATGGAAGTTCTGTTTTCCATGTATTTATTGAAATCTCCTTAAGTTACTTAACAATGAATTTATTTTTACTTCTTTCCATGTCACAAGTAACTTATGGCATCTTCATATTCAAAATTAGGTAATTGGTAGCACATATTTGTCATTTGAGATTTTGTCTTTCCATTCATGTGGCAGGACCTATAAAAGTCTATATTATGAATGGGCTGCAGGGATTTTTGTTGTTGCTAGTTTTTTTTTTCCCCAGTAGGAAACACTTTTCTAGGAAATTACTGAGATATAGAAAAAAAATCAAAATTGTAACTATAAACTATTTAGAAAATAAGAATGAGATAACTTTACATCTATGTGCCTTATGTCATATGGCCAGAATAGTAGACCAAAGAAAATTTATAATCTTACATATTGCAATTATTAACTGAGAAGGAGTAAAAGATAAATGAACCTACTAACTCAAGAGTTAGAAAAATAAGAAATGAAATGACCACAGAAGTAAGGACTTAAGAAATGCGTATAAGATGATGAATTAGAAAACAGAACAGAATTGAAAATTAGATCCATAATCTTGTTCTTTGATTAAACTGCAACATAGATAAACCTCTGGCAAGTTTAATGGAAAATGAGAAAAATTAATATATACACTAGAAAACAAAGAGAACATAGCAACAAATGTACACATTATATAGGAAATATTTCAGAAAGTCCATGAGAATATTGGAATACCTTATATGAAAATGAATAATTTCTTAGAAATTGTAAACAGCCAGGGCTAAGGAATGTAGCTCAGTGGTAGAGTGTTTGCCTAGCAAGCATTAGGCCTTAGATTTAATCTCTAGCACCTCCAGGAAGAAAACAAAACCAAACCCCAAATCCCTGAAATAAATTATCATGTAAGAAATGAAAAATTTTAAAGAACTCTTCTTCTATAATATGCATGGTCCAAATTTTTCATTCTTATACATTGTAAATATTTCTAAAGATGGACAATATTACAAATATTTCTACTTCATTTTCAAGGAGATAGTGTAAGGATCTAGAAGGGGGAGCACTTCAAAAATCAGCACTTGAAGCTACATGATATTCTCTTAAGAAAATAAGTTTAAAAGTTTTTTGTTTTGTTTTGTTTTTTTGGTGGTGCTAGGAATTGAACCAGGGCCTGTGTGTCTGAGGTAAGCACTCTACCAACTGAGTGATACCCCCAGCCCAAGGTTTTAAATTGTAAGGGGAAATCTAACAATTAATTTGACCAACATACTAAAAATAAATTGAATAAATGTAAAGAAATGTATCAATATAATGCACAAACTGGCAAAAACACTATGAAAATAATTATAGATAATGAAAGGCTAATTGATAAATGGAATATAAATAACTGATTAAAATAATTTTTGATAATTAGAAATAAAAGGATACCTTTATTACATGATATGTCTTGTTTTTTTTTTTTTCCTTTTTTCCAGAATTTGAGATGGAACTAAAGACCTACCCCACCCATGGTAGGCAAGCACTCTACAAATAAAATACTTTGTTATAATCTCTAAATCTATGTGTATTGACTTTTCCTCCCCCAGATAACTTCATTTATTCTGCCTCCCCCCCCCCCGCCCCGGGGATAGTTAAGTGAGCTCTTCTAGGAAATTTCCACTACAGGTCACAGTGAAATTGCCACACTGTCTGGGCCAACTCTGGGCAGCCCCTCCCTGTGGTACAGCTTTTCTGACTCTGTCCTTGCAGCCAAAGCAAAGGGGGTGAGAAAGAGCTCCTTCAGGTGAATTACACTAACAGAAAGGAGTCATCTCCAATAAAATTTCACCCCTCCTAGGAAAGGGAAACAATGTGTCTCTAAAATGCTGCAGAAGTGCCATTTTTGATCTTTTCCTCATTGTTGCTTTTAAAATCTTGATTTCCTCTTTAACATAAGGGCACCCAATCTAAACTTTCCATTCATGATTTTTGAGGAAAGAGGTGGAATCTGGGGACTGATATCATGAAGAGGCAACTTGGGAGAGGAAAGCTCTGACATGGGCCTGGGGACTTCTATTGGTGTCAGTAAGATGCCTAAGGAATTTTTAAAAGTTTTTAATTAGTGTGTTATAAATATACATAAAGGTGAAATTAACTTTCTATATGTACATAGCATAGTTTGGCCAGTTTCTTCCCACAGTTCTCCTTTCCCATCCCTTTTGCTTCCCCCTCAGTCCTCTTTGCTCCACTGATCTCCCTTCTGTTTTCATAGAATTTCCCTCACTCCCCACCCCTTATCTTATTTTGGTCTACATTCTGCATATGAGAGAAAACATTTGACCCTTGCTTTCTAAGTCTGGCTTATTTCACTTAGCGTGATGTTCTCTAGTTCCATCAGTTTACCAGCGAATGCTATAATTTCATTCTTTATGGTTGAGTAAAACTCCATTGAGGTTTTGTTGCAATTTCCGTTTGGATTTATGGGGACAAGACACTCTATGTGGTGGACCTGGGTTCCATTGTAGTCAGCCTAGGCAGTAAACCCATTCCACTCAAGGCATTGCTGCCAATTTGGACACCAGATCCTTGGTTCTCTCACAGGTCAGGTGATTATAATAACTGAGGTGTTGTTTTGAGGCTTAGCAGAATAATCCAGTGAGCCTAGTTCATGGTAGGTAGCTCTAGGTCACAGTTGTGTAGCTGTGACCAATGCAGTCACTAGCTACTGTGGCTAAACTATATTAAATGCTACTAAACAAAAAGTTGAGTTTCTCAGCAGCACCAGCCCCATTTCAACTGCTCTACAGCCACCTATGTCTAGGGGCTACATACTGGGTAGCACAAGCACAGCGCATTTCCATCATCAAATGGTATTTCATTTAGGGCTAGGATGCAGCTCAGTGGTAGAGTGCTTAGCTAGCATGTGGAAAGCCTGGGTTCCATCTCCAGTGTCACAAAAACAAAACAAAGAAGCAGAATGGTCCATTGGGCAGCACCACTCCATATCACTAACTTGGATTTTCAATAATGGCCAAACCCTAGGGCTAAACAAAACCATCCTCTTTGTTTGAAGTGGAAGCTGTCCTGGGATGTTTACCTGCCAAGGTAAGAGTCAGAAGAGGACATTCAGGAAAGTGCATCCTTTGTTCCCCAGAGATAGAAAGGAGTGATATTTGCTTCCCAAATTCAAAGAGCCTATCTGTGAACCAGGTAGTTTAGCCCTGAAAAGGTGGAGAGTTCATGCCAAGGAAAACCTCCATTGAGGACTCCCTTCCTTCCACTGTGCACTTAACCAGGCGGCTGCAGAAGGGGTGGGGGGTGGATCCCCATTCTCTCAGCAGAGGAAACATTCTTCTGAGGTAGAGTTTGGGAAAAACAACTAATCTGTTTTTCAAACGGATTTTTGTAAATAACTGACAGGAGATGGGCCACTTCTATTGCAGTATTAACCCAAGTGTATGGGTGTTAATTATTAAACCTTTTAAATGGTGGCTCACTGATTTCTCTGATATTCTAATCCGGTCACAGAATGGCTAAGGCAGCTTTAAGTGGAGGGTGGATTTTTTTTTTTCTCAGTTTGCCTTGTGTTTTCCACTCCAGAAGAATGTTGTGGCTCCTCTTTTTTCTAATGACTGTTATTCATGCTGAACTCTGTCAACCAGGTATGTAGCCTTGAAACATAAAAATAGCTTAACAAGTCATTGACTGAAAGAAATCTTTATTTTTCTAAATCTGCAGGCATATTGTGGCTTTTAAGTTTATCCTGTGACTGTTTTATGAGTGAAAGAAAATGTAAACCACCTAAGGTCCTTGCCATCCAACTTTCAGGGGTGTTTAGGGACAGTTTCCTTGTAGTTCTGTTTTCTGTTGCTTTTAGTTCATTAAATATTAGGATTAAATGGGCTATGTTTGGGCAGATTTTATTATCATATACTGCTGTTTCTTTTTCTTTTCTGGCAGATGCAGAAAACGCCTTTAAAGTGAGACTTAGTATCAGAAGAGCTCTTGGCGATAAAGCAGTAAGTGGAACACCTGCATGTTCATTTTGAATTTTGTTACCTAAGAACTGTGCTTGCTTTCTCTGATGATGGGCCTCTGTCTGCATAGTAATGATAATATATCATTTCTAAAGACTTGAAGTCTGATATTTGTAAATGTAAAGGTAGAGTATACTAAAATAGAAATTGTTTACAATAGGCTTGCCTGAGGTTCTTTATCTGTAGTGTATGCTGGAAGACGTATGAAGTTTTGTATGGCACCAAAAAATTTAGAGAACTTGAACTTCTCAATCCAGCATTGTAGAAAGGAGACTGAGGGTCTGGGTTGGATCTGCCCCTCATTGTGGTGTTCCTTGCAATCTGGGCAGCTTGTTTTCTAGTCATGGAAAAGAAGGAATGGTACTAAATACAGAAAGTCTTTCATAGCACAAGAATTCAAATTCTAATGTAAAGTTTAAATTCTTTAGAACTACCAAAGTGACACTGTGTCATATATACTTTTGAAACCAAAGTTTAGAAATACTCACAGGGCCTCTGTGGATATTGAAACAGTAAAGAGACTTGAATTAATAAGACAGTTATTATCAAATTTCAGTGTCAGCTTCCCAGAGTGATGTGCAAATTACTCCCCCCACAGGTGTCATTAAGAGGCCCCCCACTAGAAACCCCCCGAAAAATGTGCTAAAAGAATTTTCAGGTATTCTATTACAGGACAGTCCACCAACATATCATTGTATTATTTACTTGGTGAATTATAATTGTTAAAAACACCCAGAATTGACTGCGAACTTAATTTACATTTTAGCAGGGAGCCTTCTAAGCACTTGACTGCTATCAGCTCATGTAGCCCTTAACAACAACCTTTTAGGGAAAGTGGTATAGGTACTCTTATTTTCATTGGATGGGTAAGAAAACTGAGATGCAAGGAAATGAAGTGACCCTTTCAGGACCTTAAGCCACCAAGTGATAGAGGTCAGATCTGAATCCAGGCAGACTGACAGCAGAATCCACTCTGTACCTTTTCCCCTAACCCAGTGTATAGGGTTTCTCATCCTAAGATCCTTAGAGTGGGTGCCATGCTGGGTGGTGGAGATGCATTGACCCTAAAATCAGACTTGTCCCTGCCCTATGGGGATAATGGTAGTGGGAGAATCAGTCATCCATTAAAGATGTAGTAAAGCAAATGCAAATGTGCAATCTTGACAATATTACAAGCTTTGGCCTCATCAGGATCCTTAGTATCTGGCCCTTCTATAAGTTCCATGAGTTGAAGTGAACCATGGATAAAAGAAGGAATGACACAGGGAACAGCATATGTGAAGGAGCTTGCTAAGCATGAGGGATAGAAGGAAGGCTAAGGTGTCTGGAATTGGGGCAGTAAAAAGCAAAGTGGCATGTCATCACGTTTGTAGTTTCAGAAAGGGACGGGGCCCAGGAGTATGCAGGCTGCTGCATGAAAGAGTTTTGCTTGAACATGAAAGAAGTGCTTGAGCGCCTCAAATGCTGTTGGGAAGCTAAGCAAGATGAACACTGACACACGCTTGTTGTGTTAAGCAATGTGGAGGTCAGTGGTCACTTTAGAGAGCCTCTTTTGTGGATTGACAGCCAGAAGGCAGATATTAGAGGGAGTGTTGTAGGTGGAATGAAATATAAATGGGTGGTGAACATGTGCAAACAGAAGTATGGACAACTGCTTTGAGCATTTTGACTATGAAGAGTAGGAGAGAGATGGTGCATGAGTGAAAGGACGAGTGAGTGAAGTGATTTATTTGTACTGTTGTCTCAAAGGGAAAAGTTTGAGCAGTGGACAGGCTGCAGGTAGATTTGAATACACAGAAGAGGGAGGGAAACTGATATTGTTTATATGATCAGAAGGGCCCAGGAAAGGCATTCCTAATAGAGATAGGGGGAATAGCCATTGATAGGAGAGGCACCGCATGTCTGGCCCTTCAAGGGAGAAGATGGACAGGGTGTGCTTCTATGGATGAAGTTTTGTATCTTGGTGTCAAGAGGATGAGGGAGTTCAAGTTGATGACTTGAGATGTATCTGTAAATTATAAAGCAACAGTGTCTAGTGAAAGTGAGGTGTGAAGGAAAGCATAATAAGTCAGCAGACCTATAGGAGGTTAAAATAGTCCTGTGAGCCATCAGAGAGAGAGAGGAAACCTAAGGGATTCCCAGGCAATTTGGGGGTAGGTCATTATGAATTTAGAGTTAAGCCAATAGTCCCTGTTTTGTGATTTTCTCCAATTATGTTGTATTACTCACCTAAAATTTGGGGTTGGCCTGGGTTTGAGGGTCCTGAGATGTATGCAGAAAGCAAGGTGAGCTGGGACATTAGGGCCTTGGCATAAATGTTATTGAAGTGAGGAACCAAGGAATCTGAACTGATGGATGAATAAATACATCTCATATGCTCCATGTGGTCTGTGGAGTCACATGTGGTATGTAAAGATGTTTTCAGTTTCACACACTTTTTGAGCACCTGTTATGCATCAAGTAGTATGTGCAACAGGTACTTAAGCTGCTGTGAACATTTTTGTATATACCTTTTCCACAGCTTTCTTTTTGCAGGACTATTTAGCCAGGAGTGGAATTTTGGGTCAGAAATTATTCCTGTGTTTAAATTGGCACCTCTTTTCTTATCCTCTCTTAAGTTGCCCATTTTCTTCTTATGTGGTACATGTGCTTGATTCCTTTTCTATGTAGAGACTCAGTGAAACATTTTGAATGCCTTTGTGGAAATATGTAACCTCCAGTGCACTCGCTTTCAATCCTTCCACCCTTACTCAAGATCAACTGGTGAGGGTTGCAGGATATCCACCTTGATGTGGATCTGGTCAGTCCTGTACTGTTCCACGTAGTTTGGGGCTTTGCTCTGTGACCCCAACGGGACTTCTACTGAGGCAAATCATGCTCTTGTTTTTAAGGGGAACCAATGAAAGGACTGGAGATCAAGTCAGATCATCTCCAAGATCTGAAAAGCAATTTAAATTCATGCTCTGGCAAGGTCTGGTTAGCATCTTTCATTGTTATTTGCTATACTGGATTATCATTCTCCTATAGTTGAGCAGACTTATTCCCCATCTCCCCAATCTGAAAACAGTGCATCCCTGTTTGAATAGTGTTTGTGTGCTGTCTATAACTGGACTAGTTTCTTCTTTATGTCTTGATCTTATTAGATTGGACTATAGTTATTCTGAGTAAAACTGATTTTGGAACCAAATACATTATTGAAAGCTAGGGGCTATGCTATGAACCATTTGACTATTTTTAAACTCTCATAGTATAGTACAAAATACAAAGTTTAATACAAAATGATTGAAGGAACATTTCAAATAGGATCTAAATTGGATTAAAATGCAACATTAAATAGCACTTGTACATGAGAAAAGATATTGAATTATTCTTTGTTGATGGCAAGACTGAAAAAGTGTGAAGAAAAGTGATTGAATGGAGGGAGGGGAGGAGGTATGGGACTAGGAAAGACAATGGAATGAATTGGACATAACTTTCCTATGTTCATATATTAATACACAACCAATGTAACTCCACATCATGTACAACCACAGATATGGGAAGTTATGCTCCATGTATTTATGATTCGTCAGAATGCATTGTATTGTCATGTATATTTAAAAAGAAATTAAAAATGTATAAAAGAAGAAGTGATTGAAGGAACTTTAAAGAATATGATTTGGGGACTGGGGTTGTGGCTCAGGGATAAACCACTTGCCTAGCATACGTGAGGCACTGGGTTCAATCCCCAGGACCAAATAAAAAAACTAAATAAAAAAAATAAAGGTATTGTGAACATCTACAACTAAAAATATTAAAAATAAGAATATTATGTGACAGTATTGGGGAAAAAGGAAGACGTAAGATTATAAACCTCTTACCTAGAGAAGGTAATTGAGTGATGTACTGTTTGGTATTGATTAGTATAGCCTATTTTTACCTACTGTCTACCCTCAAGCAGAAGAAGAGAACTGGAAGAAATAAGTTTTTAAATGTGTTTTCTCAGCCTAGAGTGAAACCCAAATCCTGACACTGTTCCCATGATATACCAACCCCTCCCAAACCAAATTCCTCCCTTCCCTTAGACTTTACTACTTTCTCCCTTGGTGTTTCTACTTTAGATGCACTTGCTCCCTTGGTGGCCTTCAAACATGCCAGTCCCCTTTTCCCTCAGGTATTTACATTTGCTATATGAAGGAACAGCTTGAGTCAATACACTGTATTAATTTTCTAGGGCTGCTAAAACAAAGTACCACAGGCTGAGGGGATTAAACAACAGAACTTTATTTTCTCTCAGCTCTGGAGATTAGAAGTTAAGATCAAGGGGTTAGCAGGATTGGTTTCTTCTGAGGGTCATATGGAAATGATCCATTCCAGGCATTTCATCTTGGCTTGTAGATGGCTGTCTTCTTCTTGTGTTTTCACTTTGTCTTCCCCATGTATGAGTCTGTGTCCAAATTTCTTCTACTAAGGGCATCAATAACATTGGATTAGGGCCCACTCTTACTACATCATTTTACTTACTGATTTATTTATTTATTTTTGTGGTGCTGGGGATTGAACCCAGCGCCTTGTGCATATGAGACAAGCACTCTACCAACTGAGCTATATCCTCAGCCTCTTAACTTAATCACCTCTGTAATGACCCTCTCTCCAAATATGGTTACGTTCTGTGGTACTGGAGTTTAGGACACAGTTTCCAACTAAGAAAATAAAAGTGTGTTGATCCTCAGAGGAAAGGGAACAGGGGAAGGAAGGAGCAGTAGGAAAGGGGAAGTACTGGGGACTGAATTAGAGCAGACTATATTCCATGCTGTTATAATTATGTCAAAATGAATCCTAATATTATGTATAACTAAAAAGAACTAATAAAAAACTGTACTGATCTGAATAATGGGAAGGAAACTGGGTGGGAGAGTCAGTTTATGAGGAAATAGAGAAAGGAGGGAAAGGAATGGCCTATATATGGCCAGGATGATTTGTCCAAATGCCTTATTGACTGACTGGCTACTAATATGGCAGCTTCTAAGAAAGATAGCACAACAGGAAACACGTCAAACTTGGAATTATGGAATGTCCCAAAAGCCCTACTCCAGATGCTATGGTACATGATTTATCATGTTCTCCAGTTTTCTGTGTACAAAGAAGATGGGATGGGAGTGTGGAGACTATGAGAATGAGTGTAGCATCTAATGGAGTGTTTTTAAAAAATATTTTTTAGTTGTAGATAAACACACAGTATCTTTACTTATTTTTATGTGGTGCTGAGGATCGAACCCAGTGCCTTACACAGGCGAAGCAAGTGCTTTACCACTGAGCTACAGCCTCAGCCCCATAATGGACCGTTTTTAACCCCATACCTCTCTTTCCTTCTCTTTCAGTATGTCTGGGATACAAATGAAGAATATCTCTTCAGAGCGATGGTGGCTTTCTCCATGAGAAAAGTTCCCAATAGAGAAACAACGGAGTAAGCAAACAGTACAAAATCTTAACTGATTATTTGCAATAGTCTGTGAGACAGTGGATTATTTTAATCCTTGATCTTGAACATAAATTTTAGCCAATTGGAAGGGTCCTCCATTTTTATTAAACATTAAAAGACCTTTGTAATGTAGCTTAGCTTACAGCTTATATCATGTTTCAATAGTGCTCTTCATTCAGCAGGCAATATGAAGATAACTAACTTCCAGAATTGCAGTTATATTTCCTAAGCTTCTGTGTTTCTGTTGTATACATATAACTTTTCTTGAAGAAGGGTGGATAGATGGATCAATAGGCAGGTAGTAAGGAACTCTATTCTCACCTTGAAAAATAACAGAAATATGTATAGGTTCTTCCCCTAACTGGTATCTGTCATAGCAACTTGTAAGTTTTCTTTAAAAGCACATAGTACAACTTTGAATAGTTTTGCATTTTTTTCTGTAACTCTGGAGGAATCTTCTCTTCATGGTGTTTCCTTCCTTCACTATTTGTGATGAGGGTAACACTCCTGGTTTCTCTCTACTCCCTCTCTGGTGCCTCCCTTTGAGAGGTGAAATGTCTTATCTGATTGGTAAGCTGGATGGAGAACCTGGGTGTGGGTTCCTTTCTCTTTGGGAGCTAGCTTGCCCAGCCAGCGCCTCCACCAGACATTCTTAGTGTCACTTGCTAGCTGAGGACAGAACCAGTCGCCACTGGTATTGGGAGACATACACATCTGTAATGGTATACTTGTTAACAGCTGAAGAGCACTTAGATTGGTAGGTGTCTCATATGGAGTGTTAAATATCTTCCAAATTCCTTCAGTGCATGCTAAGACCAGCCTCAGCTCAGCTCTGTCTGAGACAGTACGGGTATGGAAGGCTTTTTAATGTTTTTATTAATGCATTATAGTTATATATAATATTGAATTTAATTTGATGTAATAATCCCATGTGTATATATTTTTCATATATAATTTGAGTGATAAGTGGAAAATATCTTCATTCTATTTTATATGGAGTTGAGGATCAAACCCAGTGCCTCACGCATGCTAGGTGAGCGCTATCCCTCTGAGCTACCACCCCAGCCCTCATGTATATTTTTAGTGTATATTTTTAACCAAAATATTCCACATGAGTCAAAACATTGCAAGGAGATATAGTAAATTCTGTTCTTGTTTCACAGAAAAAGTATTTACTATTATAGTATAAAACTGCAGCATTCTTTTCACAACTATATAAAACTTTTTCAGTAAAAACAAGGTGATTATATTATAAGAAATTGAAAAGGAAACAAAGCCACTGGTTATCTGGCAGTGCTAACCCGTGTGGTGTCTGTGTGTTCTCTACTGCTCCTTCTTGTTTGCAGGTTTTATACATTGCTGTGTTCATGGCACTATTATTTCCTGTAAGTACCTTCAAATTACCTGATGCATGGCTATGCAAAATGTTCCCTTTCCTGGTAAAAATCAACTAAATATGTGACATTTTTTATTAGTATTGAAGAATTCATCTTTGGAATGTTTTCCTTCAGAAGCTGAGACATTGTAGGAGTCTATGAATATGTGATCAGTTTGCACGAAAAGTGTTTTGCTTGGACTTTTACACCTAGGGTATCTATACTCTTGTGTTGCCAGTTGTAAATATCAAAAAGTACAGAACTAGAAAAGGGATCAGTAAAAGTTTTTTTGTAAAGGCTCAGGCACTGTGAGTCCTGGCAATACTGCTCTCAGAGAATTGAGTGATGTGCAGGATGTGTTTGAGATGTAATCCATGTGCTGGACTGTATTCTATATGCCCTGCCACATGAAAGCTGCATTCCAACATGCACAGGCTTCTCCTGTGGGAAGGGGGGCACATAGTGCATGATAGAGTTGAAACTCACTCTGCAGAGAGTTCACTATTTTGTGTGTAGTGAATGGATGGAAGACACCAGTAGTTTAGTAAATGGATCAGTTTAAAAATCATCAACTTTCAGGTCTTTTGTTGGGAATGTGGGCAGAGTCAATTCTGGAGTATAGTAAATATACTTTCTAGGAAAGCTTCAGGGATCCAAATCTTGGACATTGGATGCTTATCCATTTTTTCTTCTGCCTCTTCGATTATCCATAAATATTGCAAAAGATGGTGAAGATGCTGTTCAGTATAGAGAATAAAACAAATTTCATGAACTGAAAGTAGATATTCAGGTAACTAAGAGAATGCTGAATCCTCTCTCATTTTCACCCACCTCTGACCCCCTCCTTACTACAGTAACTCACATTAGGTTTGATTACCATTAGTGATACAGAGCTCATTCTCTCCTGAGGAAGTCAGTTCATATGTCGAGATCTAGAATTGGTATATACTTAAGACATGAGTATATGGTGGGCTCAGAAAGAGAATGTGACTTCTGAAGAGAGGTTCTGGCTGCATCCATGCAGAACTTGCTGGAGAACTGATGTGGTCAGGGCACCGTGAGCAGGTGGGTGGTAGAAGGCAAGCCTGGGATTCCCTAAGAGGATCAGAGGGCCAGCAGGTGTGGGCCTGCAGAGAGGGCTGTGAGAGTGCCACTCCATTCCCCAGGGAGCTCAGGGCAGAATGGGTTCCTGTGCAGGCACCAATGCAGCCAGTCAGGGTGTGGACAGTTGGGTCCATGAGGATTAGATGGTGCCCATTGCACACCAGAGCTCATGTGTATGGGGTGATGTCTCTTCTCTTCTGCCTGCCACCTCCAGCCAGGTAGAGAACTGATAGAATCAGAGGGTGGAGGTGTCTGTGAGAGGGGAGATGGCATATTATCTCCTGGTTGGCTGCTCCCCAATCAAAGACATTCTCAGGACTCTGTCCAGTTGCCACCAGTATATCAGCAGCTAGGGTTCTAGAGGTAGGATGGCATCCCAAGTCACTGGGTGTGCAGTGGGACAGAAAAGACCACTAGCCTCTCAGCTGGAGAAGTCCAAAGTTGTAGGGCTGGCTTGATCCACCTGGGGAGAGAGAGGGCAACTCTCTCAACAGTCAGTACCTGAATACATTCCTGTGGCTAAGAGGAATCTTCCAAGAGGAATTGGATGAAGTCACTGCTTGTTGAGCAGAAAATCAACTGCAGGGCAAGGCAAGGTGGTGGAGTGAGGCCACAGGTGCACCATTGGAGGCCAAGTCATGGTTGGGAGCGGGGACTGGAAGAAATCAGAGTGCAGCACCTTTTTCTGGGACACCATCAGTGCAGAAGATCTCAGAGGGCTCCCCGAAGACCCCATAGGAGCACTCTGAATAGACAGCTTGTGGATGCCTACCAGGACAAGGACCACCAACAGCAAGAGGGAGCCACAGAGGGCCCTGGGCAGTGAGAATGCATTTTGCCTTTCTTTGCTTGTCTTGTCTGATCCCACCTCTCTTGCCCCCACTTCTAAATGAGCCAGAATGAAGCTGGGGGTGGGGAGTGTGTGCAGGGCAGAAACAGAGCCCAGAGGGTGAAGGGCTGGGCCCACACTCAGCACCCCTGTTTGGGCCAGACCTGCTGGAAGGAGAGTACCTGCAGGTTGCTGGCAGGAGTGCAGTTTTGATTCGGAGCCGGAAGTGACAGGAAGGCTACACCATCTGCTGCAGATGCCCTCTGGAGAGAAAGAAAGCACTGACAGAGGGGCCAAAGACAATGGTGTGACAAACATCTATTTCTTCCTTCATTGCCATCTAGGAAGTCAGATCTGTGGAATTGAGTAACCTACACTGAAGTCCTGCTGTGTGCTGGGCATGAGCGTAAAAGCATGCGTATACCAATTCCTGTTCTGCCCCAGCCTGTGCCCATGAAACTGGCTGTGGTAGAGATAGGAAGATAGATTAAATATGAAAGAAACCAGGGGTTGGGGTTGTGGCTCAGCTGTAGAGCACTCAACTAGCACATGAGAGGCCCTTGTTTCCATCCTTAGCACCACATTAAAAAAATAAATAAAATAAAGGTATTGTATCCAATTGCAACTAAAAAGAAAGAAAGAAAGAAAGAAAGAAAGAAAGAAACCAATCAATTTCTTCAACCATTATTATTTACAGTTCTCAACAAATGGGTTTCTTGATATTTGCTGGGATTTCTTAGAAAACCAGAATGGAAAATGGATGAAAAAATGAATTTAAGAGTAATGTCTATGTTTCATTAGATTAGGTTGAGTTTTCCTTGGGAGTTAGATTGATGATGGCAACCAATATTTTCCACCATTTATGACATGATTTAGGCCAGATTTACTAAAGCAGTTTCACAGGAATTTTTTAATGTTCTAAGGAGTTTCCAAGAAAACTATGGTCTACATTTAAACTTTGTAGTCTATTTTCCAGGTAAACAGGGAAATTTATTTCTCTAGTTTATGCAAAATTTGATATTTAGGTAATTTATCACTTTTAGCAATAGAGGTAGAAGTGTAACTCAGGCATGGCTTTCTCTCTCTGAGTTAAATGGTTTAGGGTATGTAATGGATTTCTTCCTCTGCTTAATTATTCAAGGATAAGTCTTGTGATCTGAAAAGGAACAACATGCTCTTGTGTCCACAGTAAGGTAAGGGGATTAACAGTCTTGTGCTTGTAAAACAGCAGCCCAGTTCCCATTTAGTCCTTCTGATTTCCAGAAACAAGAACCTGATTCTTACCACCCCTTGGATACCATTGGCCTTGTCTGGCCCCATTGATGAAAAATGGCATTAGAGCCAATTCTTAAAGAATTGCTTTAGACCAGGGCTTCTCCCACTTCAGGGGAGGGAGGAAGCATTTTTTTTTCTTTTTAGGGATTTAGTTAAAGGAACTACTTGTGTATGTGTTAGTATAATTTATTGGTAAAAACAAAACAAAACAAACAAACAAAAAACCATTGGTCAGGGCCTGAGGTAGCTCAGTGGTAGAGCATTTGCCTTGTATATGGGAGGCACTGGGTTCGACCCTCACCACCAATAAAAATAAATATATAAAATAAAAGTATAAAAATAAATTAATTAAAAACTGTTGATCAAAATGATTATATTAGTGAACTCAATTCCATCAAACT